AGGGTATGATAGGAAGATAATATTAGTACTTTAATAGTACACAGGTGTGGATAATATGTCTCCTGAGTGGCCAGAGTTTCACACTAAAACACAACTGGTTTAGATCCGGCTTTCAACCACCGCCAGCTTCCTGAGCTCGGTAGTTGGACGATGTAATAGTATGCCGACCGAGACCCACGAATACACATGACAGCGGACCGGAGCAGGCGCGAAAGACAGCCTGCGCACTGGCGCTGCAGCGCACATATGCAACATGGTGTGCATAGGGGGGGGGGGGGGGGGGGGGGGGCATTCAGGGGAGGCACGCCAGCGGGCTGAATGTGCCACGATCCACATTGAAGATTAGCTCTCCGTACTGCAGATTCTTCTGGCGCTCGTGCTGAAGCAGTAGGGCATCCAGTGCACTAGTGGTTGGGCCGAGTAGGACGCCGCATCAGATGGAGATCCCCCAGATAGGCGTTAGCCTTTGGGTAATCCTGAAATAAAGATTATTTACTCTCCCTCGCTCTATGTTGCGGCACACTAGCTCCCTTGTTCATGTAATATGCTGGCCTACTGTAACAATTATGACTTTGCTGGCCAAATAGCTGAGGCTGCAGTCACCTCACCAATCATCTCATATTTTCAATGTTCCTTTTATTTTACTTTAACAATTTCGCAACCTCTCTCTCTCCCTCTCCCCCTCTCTCTCTCTCTCTCTCTCTCTCTCTCTCTCTCTCTCTCTCTCTCTCTCTCTCTCTCTCCCCCTCCCTCCCTCCCTCCCTCTCTCTCTCTCTCTCTCTCTCTCTCTCTCTCTCTCTCTCTCTCTCTCTCTCTCTCTCTCTCTCTCTCTCTCTCTCTCTCTCTCTCTCTTACTCTCTCTTACTCTCTCTTACTCTCTCTCTCTCTCTCTCTCTCTCTCTCTCTCTCTCTCTCTCTCTCTCTCTCTCTCTCTCTCTCTCTCTTCTCCCTCGCTCTCTCGCTCTCCCTCCCCCACCCACTCTTGGTGCGTCTAGGTGGCTATAAAGTCGAGACCCTAGGTCGGCGGAGCTCCCTAAACCTCACCGTGCACCACTGCCACGATTCAGGTTGTGCGTGCTCCCCTATAGCTGCATCTCATGTTTGGCATTTAAGAGTGGTCTTTGTAAAAAAGAAAAGAAAGCTGCATCTCATGTTTGGCATTTAAGTGGTCTTTGTAAAAAAGAAACAGAAAAAAAGCAGTGAACCAGGCCAGGAACTAGGAAGATCTACGTACGTGTAGGTGTACGGGTAACGTAAGCTCTCTTGATCTTCGCTTGTACTGTCATGTACACGTACCGTACTTGTAGTTGTAGGTACAAAAAGGTGCAGGTGACCTCACGGCTCACGCATACAAAGATTTTTAAAGTCCATGTTGGGCCACGTGCACTTCATGAGCCTTCGAAAGCTTCCACGTACTGTGGTACGTGAAATCAGAGCCTGGGCAGGATGATCGACACTGTGCTACAGCGCCTCAATTGTGCGAGAGAAAACAAACAGACCAGCAAGCACAGATCATGAACTGGTACACAACATTGACAAAGCACAAACCGCACAGCAAAGTTACAGGGCATAGCCGAGCGTTTTGTTGCCAATGAATTGCTTGAGAAGGGAGCAGTATTCCTTGTAACATTGCATGAAGTAT